CACAAGGTGCTAACCATTAGTGAGACAGGACCAGTAACAGGTAAAGCTTTGGAGATGGAATTCAGTTTCTGTAATAGGAAAGTCTGTTTGCCCACCTGTGGAAGGATACTTTCTTCTCTAACCAGATATTCACTTATTCATGTAGAATTGACTCAGTTATTTTTATTCACCCCATTCTAACTTAAAAAGCTATTTACTGTTCAAACAGTACACAACAGTTTTATCTGACTACTGTTTCAGTTCTACACATTATTTAAAGTCAGTATTGTATCTTCAGGGTCTTCCTGTATGGGATGGTGTGTTGCCGCATGTTTTTCAAGGCCCAGGGTGATGTCTTGAGTGGTGACATAGGCTGCAGTGTAGGTTTGTAGCCATGTGCTAGTTTCCTCCACCACAGGAAGCACGTGGCACTTGCCTTGGCAGGCTTGCAGCAATGGTGGGATTTAATCGAGCTGCTAAGCCTCCTAATGATAGCCCTGACACCATCTTCTATGCCAGGGAAACTTTACTCATTTGGCTTACTTTGGCACGTTTCACATTCATGAGTAGCTGTGTGATAGCTTTGATTGTCAGATCTTTATCAAGAGCCCATTTCTATATGGCATCTCTTTCTGGGAATCCCTAGGGACATGTTTCCTGGGCCCACTGAGCTAGGAACAGCTCACCTTTTTATTCCTGGTCCACATCCCCCTGAACCACTTCACTTCTGGCAGCCTGATCTATCTGCTCATTGTTTAGATGTTCTTTGGTGGTGCAGCTCTTGGACATGTGAGTGTCTGCATGATGTACATGCACATCATGATGTAGGTGTATTCTCCAGGTACATCTCATGTAATTTGTCAAGATGTACAGAATAAAGCAACCCTTTCTTACCTAAATCTGCTGTCCCCTGCTTTCTTTTGTTGCTGTTTGATTTCCCTATTTCTGTTTGTATTAATGATATTTCACTACTTGAATAATTCATCAGCATTCATTTTCCCAATTTTTACAAAAATAGCCATGTGAAAGCACGGTTGTGTGTACTTGTTACATTTTGATTGCTGCTATTTTAGTCTGCTTCACCTTCACTCAAGCAAATGTGCTGAACAGGTTTCTAAAGACACTGGCAATGGAAGGGTAGTGAGAAAGCTCATGGCCTGATTTGTATCTTTCATAAGTATAAAAGTGATAAACTGAGTTTAAAAAAATAGTTCAATTTCCAGCTTTCAGAAAGACTTGACACTTATTTCTCAGTGGATGCAAAGTAGTTTTGCAAACCAACTTGAACTGAGGTGAGTAGCACATCTAAAATGATTGTGTTTAAAAAAGTGTGTGTATATATATATTTGTGTGTGTACAAATACATATAACAGCTTCTGCTCCTAAAAGATCTTCTTCTTTTGCAGTTGAAACTACTGCTACGTTGCCTGGCAGAAAACAGATAACAGGTATATTTGGGTTCTGTGGGTTTTTATCCCCATTGTTCTATTTTAGAAAGTGTGTAGAAAGATTGCTGCTGCTGTTACTTTTTAATTCATGGAGATAGCTATGCATATGCAAATATTTGTAAATCAGTTGCCCATATTATCTTGGTGGCTTATTAGCTAATTTCATGGTGTGAATGGCAGCAGTAATTTTCCAGAGAAAATACAATCTGAGCAAGGAATCATGAGTGATTAGCATTTCAGAAACTCCTTGTTTACCATTTTTAATCAAAATAAAATCTGGTTTTCCTCAGCGACTTTTGGTATCTCTGAGTGTTCTACAGGAGAAGGAAAGGCTTTACACTATAATCAGTATATTGTAAGCAATATTATAGGGTGACTTTTGAACTTTGAGAGGTGTTGAAATACCTTAAGTATATTTTTTATAATGGTCCTTCATATTTGCATCCAACTGTTCTTTTTGTTATATTTCTGTGATAACTGTGACTTGACTTGTCTGTGACACTGTCAAAAACTACCTGCTGACCGAAAGGGCTAACTTTCAAGTGGCTGTGTGAATCAGATATCAAATTTCCTAATTTCTTTTTGATCAAAATACTGACTGTAACAATATAAAAAATCTGGTGGCCAGTGTTTGCTATACAAATAGTTGTCTGGTTCTTATCAAGACCAGAGGTTCAAACTTGAAATTAGAGTTGTTCTAATGCTGCTTTTTTGCAGGATAGAAAAGAGAACAGATATGTATGGAATACATTTGAAGTGGGAAGTCTCACTGTTATTATACAAAGTCTGAGAGGAGTTCTTCAGACAGCCATCTCCTTGTGTGGGCTTGATTCCCATTCCCACAATTAGCAAGACACTCAAAATAGGCTTGTGGCTTTCAGGCTAGTGTGGCATATATCTTGGGTCAATGATCTTTAGTTTCTTAACATTATACAATGCAAAGTGTCCAGTATTTCTTGAAAACAGATAATTTTGCACTGAATTCTATTTTAATTCATAAAAATTGTTATTTTTTTTAATAATCAGAGATTGTTATATCTGCCTTTTTGGCAACCTGGAAGTGTCATTCTGAAAAAGCAGGTGTTGCCCTCTCCTGGTGAATGCAGTAAACTTTTGATAACATAAGAAAAGGCTATTGAGGAGGATCATGTGTGTCATAATAGCCTTTTTTTCCCCCCTTTTTTTTTTTAATCTGAAACAAAATCTGTAGATTCAGAAGAATCAGCTGCAACAACCATTTCTGGTAAGAAAATCAGCATTTGACTAATTTCTGCAATGTTTTTTATTTCCTGTTAGATAAATCTGCTTTTATCTGAGGTAATACAGAAAAGTTTTAATGTGACTTCCAACATTCAGTGTTTTCTCTGTTTATTTTTTGAAGAGAAAATTAATTGTTTCATTCTATTTTGTAATTAAATAGCTCACCTTGTATGTGAAAGGCAGTTGTTTTCTTGGTTAATGTATAGTACACATAGTACTGTGGATAGAAGAAATAATAGACAGAAACACACATGATTTTGTTCTTTTACAGATACAGTCTTTCTTTGGTTATGGTTCATCTTTAGCAACTGCAAACAAATTCAGTATTTGTTGTAGTATGGACCAAGCCAAATAATACAGATGAAAGCAGCACTTAGTTTTCACTCTGATTCCTCGTACTTTGGCTGCTTGTTATTTGCATTAGAAAATTAGTTGTCTTCAGGGTTTTTATTTAAGAACCAAATATGCTTAGCATTTACACTGCCTATGGAATTGAGGGCACAATTGAAAATGCTCAGAATAGCTAGCCTAGTGGAAGTAAATGTATCAAAAAGTTACTTTTCTCTTTCATATAGAAATTGAGTAGATTGCGCTATTTTTCCTTGATATACAACTATCTATGCAGAGCCACTAACTTGTCTTTATTTACTTCTTCTAATGACAGTGATGCTTTTAGTAACAAAGTTTGCATAGTATAAAGTTCTTCTGCTGTGAAACTGCTCTGGCCCATGTGAAAAAAGTCACTGTCATATTGGAGTGATACAAAGTGGTCCTCTAACCACTTTGTGTTCCTGTACTGACACTTAAGATATGCTCACTAAGCACATCCTTCTGTAGATTTTTTTTCTATTGTCTTAATTTAACTTTATTTCCTTTTTTTTTTTTATGTAACTGAAAAAAACTTTGCATCATTATTTTATTTATGTATGGTAACTGACAAAAATAGAGTTGTTGGAGAGAGAGAGTTTGCCAAAACCGATGTGGCGTCTCTGCTTATGAATGCTGTGAGTTCATGCAGGAAAAGGCCCTTGGAATTAGGCAGTTGTTGCAATTGGATATGCAAAATTCATCTGCATCTTCTAAAAGAATGAAACCAATAAAAGGAACTTTTCGATTGTCAGCTGTTTTCTGTTCAGATTTTTTTTAAAATGTGATCATTATTTCAATTATTAGTATTGAAATATTGTGAACGTTCTCAACAAGCTTTGTGGTTGTTCTTAAAATGGAACTTAGATAAATAATATTCAGTTTGTGTTTGACGTTATGCAGACTTGATCTTTTTCTCTCAAATTCATAGATGTAAAATACTTTATTAATACAGATTTTACTCCTGTATCTTTTTTTTCCCCAGAATCCTCTATTGTTACTTTTGTCAACTATCCTATTAATCCTTCAGACAAGATGTTATTAATATTTCTTGTATTTAGATTTCATTAGATTTAGACTTCTGACTTTTTTACATTCTTATTGATTCTATTGTTTTATTTTTATTGATTTTTACTGTTTTACATTTTTTCTGCTTCAGATATGTCTTCAGAGGAGACTACACAAAGTGCAGGTGAGAATTTGCATGAAGACAGTAAGGTTTCAAGGGAGATGTTTGTTGCATTCATGTTTTTGTTGAGGTTTTTTGTTTTTGTTTTTTTTTTAAATAACTGTGTTTTGTTTAGTCCGAATTATTTTCCTACATTATCTTAAAATTTGTCTTTATCTGAGGTCTGTGTTTTAAGTCCACCTGGGTAGGGCTCTGAGGTGCATTTTGCTGACACTAAGCTGTTGACCTTTCTTTTTTGTTCAAGGTATTACATGGCTTCCCAAAGCCCAAATTGGATATATTTATTTTTTAGCAAATGTATAGTTTTTTTGGTATATCTACAGATAGAATGTTTCCTATGCTTTCTGACACTATTAAATGTATTTTTACAGAAGTAAAATGTACATTCCATTCCTCAAAGACACTGACATGGTAGATGTTCTTGCAATGAGTTGCCAAATAGGATCAGTAAAGACTCAATCAGAAGAACTTGCTGCCACTCTCTTTCCTGATTTTTGCATTTGGAAACAAGAAGTGGGTTCATCCCATGTCAGTACAGGTTTCCCTCCATGTCTCTGATGTAAGGTAGAGATCCTGCTGCTCTTCATTGTTGATGGAAAGACACATTTTCAGAACATGATTCAACTTAGGCTGAAGAGCCCATGTAAAATAGGATAAATGGGAATCACACCTTAAAAACACTGTTTTCTCCTCTGAAAAATAAGGAGTCTGGAGTCACTTTTTTTTAATGGGGACATAAACATGTGATTGGTGGATCTTACTCTGATTGCTGCTTTTGTACTGCTTTTTGTACTGCTTTTGTACTTCTGTAAGTAACTTAATCCCCTTATAAATCGTCATATATTTACATTTCTCCTGGGAAGATGGAGTCCAAATTAGAAATAAGAAAGCTTATTTTTGTGACATGTATTTCATAGGCTTTTTAAGTTAAAATGTGAAAATTTTTTTCTTTTTTTTTTTTTTTTTTTAACAGAAGCTCTTAGAATCACTGATTATTACTCCACCATAACACCAGGTAAGATTAATGTATCACCGCTGATATCCTTTAGTGCTTCTCAAAATTTCAGTTTGTGTGAGTTCAGGAAGTCTTCTCCCAAATATTTTTAATAGGATCTTTTTTCTTGGTATTGTGGTGCATCATATTAGCAGTCTGCCTTACTTCACATTGAACTTCAGGCTAATTCTAGAATGCTTGTCTAGATGGCCTGCAAATAGAAGAGTTTTTGTAAGTCAAATCAGCAGGTTACCACAAAGTTGTAAGAACCACAGTCTTGGGAACCACATTTGCTTAAAAAAAGAATCCTCATGTTTTTTAGTAGATTGAAGCCAACTGAATAGTCATGATGTTTGACCTCGGGCAGGAAAAGTAGGACCAGGGGTAGACTGAATTTAATTTTGTAATTATCCATGTAGGAGCTGGGTAGACCCACTAGACTTCTGTAACTAAAGAAAGATACGTTCTACTAGATGAGAGCATAAATGTTTGTTGTCACGTTTGAGCTTCACGCTATCATCATAGCCAGAGTAGGATACTCACAATCAGATAATGTGCTGCCTAGTGGTTGAATTCTCTGATATTTGAAGAGCTTATTTAAATATTGATTTCTATTTCGATTTGGATTTAAAAAACAAGAAAGAAAGAAAGAAAAAATGAGACCACTTGCATGTAAGTCTTTTGTGGAAACTGTTATAGAAAGTTATTCAAAATTAATAGTCAAAGCCAGCATTTTTCTGAATACTAATTCTTGAAAAATGTCACAGTAAGTACTCTAGAGGAATGAAGCCTAGTATGTCAAATATTTCTAAAAGGTAAAGACATTTACATTTAAAACATTAAATGGTTGTAAATGTTTTGTCAATATTGGATTTATGTTCAACTTTTTTACTCATTAGTTGTTTTTTTCCCCTCCCCAAAAAAACTACAGCAGGTGAAACCATTGTATGCAACATAACACATGTCTGTAATTATTCAGGTTAGTGGTTTTCTTTTTCCTTTTATTCTTACAGAAAATGTGTCCAACTATTTTATATTCTGAGTAATGAAGCAACTTTTAGTTGCCATGTAAAAGCTAGTTCTGTAATAAATTTTCTTGTGAATTTAGAGAGATTTTGTATAATTTCTAAAAATACCAAATGTGGGGTTTTTTTCTTTTACAGTAATGTGTAGTCTATTATTTTTTATTCTTGTTTTCTTACCACACCCAATTGCAGATAAGAATTACAAACCTGACAAAAAAAGAAACTAGTATGCTTTGTAGATGCTAATGTCTGCCACACTGAGTCTAACTCTGTCAGGCATAGAAGTTGAAATACTGTTTAGGAGAATTATTTTAAGAGCCTACTTTTATTTTAAAAGTGTCATGTGACAGAACAGACAAAGGAAAATGGAAATGGCAGTCATGTTCCCTTTGTGTGTACAAAAAAAAACATAGTAAAAGATGAACAGCTTGTGTGAGACATGCTTAAGAAAATGAAGTCCCTTCTGCCAAGTAGCCATATGCTGAGTAATTTATAGATTAGAGTAAGTATCTGCCCCCCCCTTCCTATAAATTTTCCCTAGTGTTTGACACAGTAAACTCCTAGGTGATTTGGGTGATGCCATATATGCATTGCTGTTTATTGTTTTTTCTCTATAGCCTGCACTGAATGTTTGGATGCAGGAAGAAAGTGTTGTAGGAGTTCCTCTTTGTCTCCAAAATTGCCCTATGAGCTCTCAAGGACTGTTGAGTGATGCTCTGAATTATGGTATCCTGAAAGTTCTTTAATTCCCATGGGAGTGATTTTTAAAGTATCACTTTTGCCTTTGTCCACACCTTTTATTTGCACTGTGGGAGATGGAGTTGCATTAATAGTAATGTACAGTGCAGTTTTCCTGTTCTGGGGAAAAGAGTTGCTAGAAGGAATTTAGGGACAGCCAGCAAAATTAAATATACAGAAAATACATAGCTATTGGACTAGTTCGTTTGTTGAAACAGTAAGTGATGGAAGAACAGTTGCAAAAATACAAAAGCTAGTTCTTATTTCCCTTGTATCATAACACAAGACAGTAAATTTTTAAACTCTCAAATAATTTTACATCATGTGTTTTAGCATTGATTTTCTTAACTTTTTTTGCTTTTGATTTTAGTGTTCTATGTGGGCAAGGTAAAACTTAAGGCAAGTGAAGAAAGTAATACATCACTAAGTGTAGAAATTGTAAGTATTCTTTCTCTTAAAACTTTATTTTACAGAAGGTTGAAATTAAATTCTTTGTCTACACTTAAGATATTGATAACTGTACATGATTATTAGTGTGTTTGCAGTATAAGGTACTCTTTGCAGTGGATGGACCTATTCTCTCTTAAACAGCTGCTTTGCAGCTAAATTTTAGAATTCCATCTAAGTAAACTTAATACAGTACAGAAGTTCCCGTATTCTTTGTATGGCCACTGAAAGAGGGGGAAGCCGTGGGAAATATGGAGGGAGGAACTGCCTGATTAAGAATCCACATTTAGGAATACAGGATCTTCCTTTGGATATTAATTTAGGCACCTGCCTTTAGAAGGCAAGCACCATTAGATGGCAACAGTGTGGGCATAATTAAAATTAGATTGTGTCCTGGAAATAATGCATGTTGAGACTCTCATAAATAGTTTTATGCTTTTTGCATTTTTTTTGATTATACTTTTGCATAATCTTTCTGTGCTTTTTGGCATGTAGTTAATCAGTTATTAATTTTGCAGTAGGCCTATGTGACATGAGTGTGTCCACTCATACAAGACAATAGAGGTTTAAGAAGACAGTGTCATGGAAAGCAAGGGCCATAAAGACGGAGCACTGAGTTTGGGCAGGGATACACCCCTGGCAAAGGCCACCCTGCACTGCGTTGTGTTTGGGTGGTGATAGAGCCCTGAAACTGTCCTCGTGTATTAACATTATGCCTACAGCTACTAGAAAAACTGGTCTATGTCTCTTGAAACTGTTTTATTTTTAAGAATACTATTTCTTATTTAAGGACAATACCATGTATGTTAGATGATGGTTTTCCTCACGGTGTTTGCTGCTTGCATGAAATGTTAAAATAACCAGTACTGGTGGTAAGCAGAAGGGCATAGGAATGCAGATCTGTAAAGGGTCTTTAGATAAACCTTAGTGTATCCCCAGGCCCTAATGCTACGTAATATATATTTAACTCAGTTCTATCATGTCTTTCACCTCAGTTCGTGACTTCTTACTCCCAGTATTCTGCCCTCTGTTACTTTTGGAGCTTGTCACATTGTTGCACTTCTAGTTACAAAGTTCATTCAGTGTTTGGTCTAAGCTGTCTTTGTTGCAAACTAAGCCAAATACCAACATGAGATCTGGTAGAGTCACTATCCTATTGCCCATATCTTTCAAAAATCAGATTTTATTTTTTGCTCTATACTAGATCAACAATTCCTTCTGTAAGTTGTGGCAGCAATGTCATGATAAATATTTGTTGCAATGTATTCATGAGGAAACACACTTCCATTTGTAATTTCAACCTGTTAAATTGTGTGAAATGCACATTTTTCTCTTAAGGCTAAAAATTACTGGTTGTAATTACCCTTGGCATCTTTATTTCTAACAGATTAATAACATCACCACCACCAGTCAAGTTAGAAAATTAATTGCAATTCCAGCATCTGCCCCACAAGAATTGAGGTAAGTAATTTTGAATAAGGATTGAAATCTTTGTTATATTTGAAAAAGATGAAGTGAGACCTTCCATGTGTTGAGCAGACTGTGTTATTCCTGCACTTTAAAAATTTCAGGAGTTCTTAGTTACTGCTCTTTAACATAAAGCTTGTGCTGGTTAGAATAGTCTTAGTTTATGTACCACTGGAGTTCTTTTAAAAATGGTACGCTTACTGATTTCCTTTTAGGTTCTTCTGGTTTCTTAGGGCTCAGCAAGGCCTGAAGTCCTTCTTGTTTATATGCTGCTGATCTTAACAGTAGTAGTAGTAGGAGTAATAATAATAATAGTAATAGTAATAATAATAATAATACTACCTGAGTACATGAGTTGTGGATTGTTGAGAATGCCAGTGTGGCTGCTGCTCTCCATGAATAAATGATCTGTATAATTTCAGGATTTGGTCTGTCTGGTAGGAAACTATGAAGAGAACTTTCATAGCTGCATGTTCTCCAATAAATATTCTTGAAGTCATATCTATGTTTTTATTTTGGTGTAGCTTTTTCCTTCACAGTCTTTGTAAGGAGGGGTGTGAATGAATGAGTATTTAATACTATTTACAAAACTTGCCCTGAAAATCAAAAAGAAGTAATTGGCCAACAGATCTTGTTTGTAGAATAAATCCATATTTCTTACTCATTCTATTCCTGTGGCTTTGAGCATAGATCGAGAATTCTGTTCCAAATGCTTGCTTACCAAAGGCAACATTAAAATCTATCTTTTGCTCTTTTAAAACACTTTTACGATGGGTTCATGTTAAAATGTGATGACAGAGGTTTGTGTAGTGACTAATAAAAGTCAACTTTCAAAATGTTTAATGCTTTGAAAAGTATAATTTTTTTTATAGTGTTGTTATTATTTTTAGAAACATAACTAAAAATCCTCCATAATGGTAACATTTTATTTTAAAGCATTTCAGAGTTCAACAAAACCTTGCAAGCAGTAAGTGAGGTAAGACTACTGGTTGTTGTTACTGTTTGGAAAACTTTTTTCCATCTTACTTCTGACAAAGTATCACTCCTGATTTCTCCCGATAAAACAATTTTTGTCTGTTATCATTTGTCGTTACAGTCCTCTGTTATGGAATGCAGTGCAGAAAACCAGAGGTTTGTTATTAAATTTTTAAAGATCAAATATTTAAAAGCTCATATATTGTCTTGTGAAATATGCAGTATGCATGGCTCTGCAACAGAAGAAAAAACAATCTTTCTAGGAAGTTAAGTTGAAGAAACAGGCTGAAGAAATATATGTAGGTTAACAAATTCTGATCTCATTATTCTTCTAGCATTAGTGATTTTTAAAAAAACTTTTTAGAGTTTTTTTTTTGTTTCTTTTTTTTTTTAACCAAACTGTATTGCTTTCATTAATCTTCCGCTGAAGCACAGGCTTGCCTGCCATATTCTTCTGCATCTCAGTATTAGCTGAGCCACAGAGTAGCTGGGAGCACCAAACTTCCAGAATTTGTGGATACAATGCCATCTTTGACTACGTTATTATCTTTACAAAATTATCAACTCTTGCACAGCTGACATTGATTAGGGAGGACCCCATTTTTAAGAATCATCAGTGTCTATAGAGATAAGGGACAATAAGCTGACACAAACGGATGTGTTACTCTTCTAATTAGCCTGCCATAGTGATTTATTGCATTACAAATATGCCCCAATCTGACAGAACCTAGAAAAATGTGCTTTCACCTTTAGCATTTGGGCTACTGTGCTTTCACTTATTATTTGATGTTAGTTTCACATGTTGTAAAGATGGGGCAGCTTTGCTTCTTGAATCTAAAGCTTTTTCTTCTCATTGTAGTTTACACTGCAAATTCATCATGAAGCTGGCTGAGAGAGAGAACATAAGCAGTTTAACAAACAAAGCAAAAATAAGCCAACTTGGTAAGTCATGTTTTAAACACAGTCTTATCACAATTTTATGTCTTTGCATGTGACCTCCAGGTAGATAAAAGAAAATATTTTTACTTATTTTTAGATAAAAATATTTTTGTTGTTGAACAATATAAATACATAAAAATGCAGCCTTCTGTTTTTTGAGGTCGTGTGGGATAGAAATAACTTTAAAAAAAATTGGTATGAAATTACTGGCTACTTTAATAAAGCACATTTTGAAAGGATTAGGTGTAAAATTAGCTGAGAACATAAATATGTTGCCAAAATGACGACTGAAAGGTTTCTTAAGCATCCAAGTTTTCTTAGTGATATTGTGATAGTATGGAGTAGTGGTTCATACGATTTATCTCTGTTTCAAAAGCTGTATTTTTGCATTTTGGTTTGTTTACAATAATAAAAAGAGAAATCTGAACTTGTCAGGCTTTGAACAAGAGTCTGGGGGTATGGCAGTATTCTGACTGGTCAAGATTTCTTTCATTTGCAAAAGTAGTTTCAGAAAAAAAATCAAAATAAATTATGCAGTAAATAGTGTTGTTTACAAACATAATACACAGGGTTAAATATTTTACTTAACAATATCAGTAAGTGTTATGCTTCAGGATAAACTAGGTTAATGCTTCTTTGTCACACCAGATCGGTGCTGCTGTTCATCACCGAAGTATTGTTCCTTGGCTGCTGAAGAATTACAAATGTAGTGAGTATAAGCACAAAATCTGACTTTCTTATTTCCTAAATTTCCTAACATTACTACAATCGACTTCCATGCTGCAGTGTAATAGCCAGGAAGGACTCCTCAAAAAAAAGCTGATAGTCATCTTCCTGTATAGCTCCTTCCCCATTCCTCCTTCTTTCCCTCCTTTCCCTTCTTTTCCTTTGGAGTTCAACATCAGATCACATCCAGAACAGGCAGCAAGGGCAGCAGTAGTATTTAGGGACTTGCTAGTTAACAACTACAGAAAAATAGAATGTAAGAACCCTCAAAATGTTAGAACAGGAAACATCCCATCTGATTGATTTTTAAATATACCTTAGTAGTAGTATGTTCATATAATTCATATATATAACTCATTTTCTTTAAAATAGAAACAATGTTAAACTTAACATGCATTTTTGTGCTTTTTTTTTTTTCTTTTACAGTACTATACAAGTGCCACCTCATTCCATATGGGTTCCTTTCCCTCATTCTCCTTCTCTCTCTAAAAAGATGTCCCCCAAATCTAATACTGTTTTTTCTCCCACTATGCTTTCTGCTAAACAAAGCCCCACAATTAGACCACTGATCACACCATTCACAGAAACTCCTTTTTCTGGAACTCTCTCCACATCTCCCACTACAAACCCTCTTACTGAAAATTCTGTGTCTTCCACCAGGGTTACCACTACACATTCCTTTTCTGAGTCTCTTGCTCAATCTACCATGCCAACTTTTTCTTCTGTAGCTTCTGATAAATCTGCCGTTAGTTCCACACCTGCAACAAAATCTGTCACTAATGCTGCTCTCTCAGTTAAACCTGATGCTGCACACCTTAGCAAGCCTTTTACAATACTTTCTCCTTCTGTAGGTTTCACTAAACATTCTGCACTTTCCTCTTCTGAGCTCCCCCACAAACTTCCAATTGTAAATCGCCACCTTGAGACTATCACCAAATCTGTTGCACAGATTCCTCCTGCTACAACCCAACTTGTATCTGGTAACAAAAATGTTAGTACAGTACCCATTCTTCCCCTTACTCCTTTCACAATATCTTTGACCCCTACTGTTAGTCCTGTCAACCATTCTGTCTCAGCTTCTCGTCCTCATTCTACCGTTGATGGCCATGGGAGCACAGGTAAATATGACGAGTAAATTATTTGTTTTTTTAATTGTAATGCCACGTACTGGATTTGCTTTTAAACTTTAATAAGGTTATATATATGTGAGGTGACCTAGCAATTACTATGAATACTTTGAATGGGAGTGTTGATCTGCTGGAATGTAGGAAGGCTATGCAGAGGGGTCTGGACAGGATGGATTGATGGATCAAAGCCAACTGTATGAAGTTCAACAAGGCCATGTGCTGAGTCCTGCACTTGGTTCACAAGAACTCCATGCAACACTCCAGGCTTAGAGAAGAGTGTCTGAAAAGCTGCCCAGCAGAAAAAGACCTGGCAGTGTTGGTTGACAGTGACTGAACGTGAGCCAGCATGTGCCCAGGTGGCCAAGAAGACCAGTGGCATCCTGACTTGTGTCAAAAATAGCATGGCAGGCAGGGAAGTGATTTTCCCTCTGTACTGGGCGCTGGTGAGGCTGCACCTCAAATCCTGTGTTCAGTTTTGGAGCCCTCACTTCAAGAAAGACATTGAGGTGCTGGAGTGTGTCCAGAGAAGGGCAACAAAACTGGTCAAGTGTCTGGAGCACAAGTCTTATGAGGAGCAGCTGAGGGAGGTGGGGACATTTAACCTGGTGAAAAGGAGGCTCAGGGGAGACCTTACTGCTCTCTACAGCTACCTGAAAGAGGGTGTAGCCAGATGGGAGTTGGTCTCTTCTCCCAAGCAGCCTGCAACAGGATGAGAGGACATAGCCTCAAGGTTCACCAGGGGAGGTTCAGGTTGGACATCAGGAAAAATTTTTTCACAGGAGGGGTTGTTAAGCATTGGAACGGGCTGCCCAGGGATGTGGTGGAATCACCATCCCTGGAGCTGTTCAAGAAATGAGTGGACGTGGAAGTTGGTGCTACAGTTTAGTTGGCAGGGTGTGATGGTTGGTCAAAGGTTGGACTTGATGATCTTGGGGGTCTTTTCCAACCTAAATGATGTTATGATCTGTTCTATGTAAAAAACCTGAGACAACTCTCATAGGGTGTTCACTTAAAAACACATTCTGATGCCTTTGGCCATGGTGAGTGATACCTCACCCTGCTAATGGATTTGTAACTGTAATAGATTAGCTGCTGTGCTAAGTTCTCAAGAGAACAAATTTCTTTTTGGCAGAAAAAAACTGTCAGAGAGCAAAGTAGCTATTTTTTTAAAACTAAGCTAGTATTTAAAATATTGCAAATTAATGTTGGGTCATCCTTATACTGCTGTTGATTAGGAATATTCTTAGTGGCTATGTATTTTTTATTAAGATTGTACACATCTTTAGAAGCTTCTTTTTCAATTTCTGACATCTTGATTTTATTCTACTTTAAGGCATTAAGTGTCTAAAAATCCAAAATAATAGGTTATTTAATATCACTAATGGTCGGATGTGAGGATCTTTGTAATCAAAAAAACATGGAATTAATACTGGGAATTTGAAACCTTCCCTTATGTGTTTTTATGAGATTTAAATTATTGGTCTCTGCAAAGTATCTGATAGGGAGAAAAGGGGATTCTGTCTTACATAACTTGTTGAGAGACCTTACAAGTTGTGGCAGGTTTGTTAATCACAGAATCACAGAATATGCTGAGTTGAAAGGGACCCACAAGGGTCATCAAGTCCAACTCCTTGCCCTGTCCAGAACACCCCAAGAATCACACCGTGTGTCTGAGAGCATTGTCAAAACGCTTCTTGAACTCTGTCAGGCTTGGTGCTGTGAGCACTTCCCTGGGGAGCTGTTCCAGTGCCCAGCCACCCTATGGGTGAAGAACCTTTTTCTAATATCCAACCTAAACCTCCCCTGACACAACTTCAGGCCATTCCTTTGGGTCCTGTCACTGGTCACCAGAGAAGAGATCAGTGCCTGCCCCTTCTCTTCCCTCACAAGGAAGTTGCAGACTGCAGTGAGGTCTCCCCTCACTCTCCTCTTCTCCAGGCTGAGAACTCCTTAACTTTTCTGTTTCCCAAAGCTTACTTCATCTGCTGAACACAGTGTTTAACTAAATGCACAACTTTTCTTTTGTCACAGGAAAAACACCTACCACAAATACAACTTCTGTGTACACCACCATTAGTATCACCACAGCTGAGCAAATTGTGTCCAAAATAGAAAATGATTTAGCAGCTGGAAAAGTAGAGCCAAAAGATGTAGAAAGGATGGTTAATGAGGTTAGCAGTGTCCTGACTGCTTCTCAGCCGTTACCACCCCGAATTTCTAAAAGGTATGTCACTTTGGCAGTAGATTAAAGATGTGTTGTATTAACTGTCTTGATAAATTGGCTTCAACAAGTTTCATTTTTTCATAATCATAATCCAAAAGAATATTTCTTGTTCTGTAATGTACTTACAAAATGGAAGGACTGTCATTTTAAGGTTTACCAGCTCTACTATAACGTATTACCATGGAAAACTGTATTTCTTTTTGTGTTGTCTCCACAATAAATGAGCAGAGTCAGCTGTGTTTTACACTTTACTTGGGTTGTTGCTCCCTAACCACAACTTGTCTAAGAATTTTGTGTGTATGTGGTTGGTAATACTAAGTGTACTTTTTCTTAACAGAATTATAAAACTGGTGGATTATATTGGCTTAAAACTGAAGCTTTCAACATCATCTGCTGAATTTGTCTCCCCTTCCTTGGCTCTGGCAGTTGTAAAAACCAACAACATGCGCTCCAACGAAATGTCTTTTGCTGTCCAGGACTCAGCTGATCTCCAGGTTAAACACTGATAATTCTAAATATTTACAAATTGTCAAAGATTTATTTTTAAGTTCTTATGGGTTTATATTTATATGAAGGGGAGTGTGTTCTGTGTTTATGTCACAATTTCAGGATCTTTTGTTTGTGCTTTTTTCAGAGAAAAAAATATTTTTTATGCCCTCCGTAATTTTTCCCTTCCATTGTGTAAATAGGTGTAAGAGACCAACTGAATTAGCAGAGATTGGCATAACTAATGAGCTGTTAGAGAGGGTGCAGCCAGAACACCAGAATGGACAGAGTGCTTGGCAGAATAACTTTGGCTCAAAAACCTGGAAACCTGGAGTCATTCATTCACCCACCATAACAGTTCTGACATTTGTCAAGGAGTGTCAGATGGCTTCATCTGTTAGAAGGAGATTAATTGTGGAGGGTTCCAGGAAAGAACTATTATGTATGTTGTTTGGATAATGAATGATACTGGGACATTTGTCACTCATGACTTGTTGGTTTCACCAAGAAAGAAGTGCTTAGAAAGTTTGGATCCACTTTGTCTCATTCAAAACCTCCTTCTTGGTTGAGGGAGTTAATAATTTGGACCATACCAGCCTTGGAGGCCTTAAGCAAGGAGAGATGGAAAGTTTTGCAAAAATTCTGGCACATCCTGCCAGTCCTCAGAGACTGAAATAGCTTAATGTAGTGTGAGCCATAAGTGGTACTGGATGGAACTCTTCGGTGATTCTGAAAGTGGTATGAAATGTTAACATTAGAGTTCTTTTCTATTTCTCAGCAACATGTAGTGCACGAATGTGAGGTGACCAGGAGGGGTTAGTGCTGAAGTATAGCAACAGATTATTGCTAAGTAATGATTTTTTAAAAATTTTGTGGCACTGGCAATGACATATTGAATATTTTCAATAAGTATGTACTTCAAACTAGAGCAACAGGAATGCTTTTGTAGAATTGATATAGGATTTCTTTGGTAGCTGTCTAAACCAGTGATCTCTGAAGTGGGGTTTGAGTACACCCAGGGTGTGCACATGACAGTCAGTCCATTGCAATGTGGGAAGAAAATGTTATTTATACGAATAATAAAAAATATATTTTTAAAAATAATGCGTAATCTCATTTTAATTTTATATATATATTATAACTTATGTAATATATTATTACAGTAGGACATACACATAACTTCTACATAGTTATATATTGGGGCTCACGCTCTAAAAATTTTAAGGAATGCATTATCAAAAGTGTTTGGAGTCCACTTCTCTGAACAGAAGGGTTAAATCACACTGTTAGGGCACTATGGGGAGTTCATACTATTACTCTTATTACAACCATTCTCTGAATTACTCAGATAATTTCTTTCTTCAGTTCTGTTAATGTTTCAGGATCAGATCTCTCAGGGACTCCGAGGTGACAATATTTGTGTGTAAAGTGACTAATGTGTGACATGAGAATGCTGAGAGATTTTGTACTAAACAAAGCTCTCTGGCCTCTAAGTACAGCATGAAAAACTGGGTGAAAGTTCAGATCTTTTTTGTATAATAGTAGATCACTAAGCTCTTTAAATACCTGAATTATAGCTTATTCAGGGTTTTTCTTTTGTCGTTTTTGGCAGATGATCGAAAAGTTGAGTTTTACATCCTTAGATTCCACTTAACCTGCTGTACTTAAAAACTTACTGACAAACAATGGCTATTTACACTTTTTCTGAATTCTTACGTACTTCCTGTGGGGTATAAAAGTTCTTTGCCTTTGCAGACTTCCATGCTGTGAAATGCTGATCTCCCTACACAGTTACATAGGCCTACCTGGGTTGTTGCTCTTCCCTTTTTTCAAGTCAATATTATCCACTACAGTGGTGTGTTCTGTCCCTGTAAGCAAGTGGGTAAAGCTAGATTATTTTCAGTGGTAGCAAAACCTGAAACAAGATGCATTCTTTTCAGCCCTGTAGATGCTATTTATGCATTGGAGCAGGAGAGGAATGAGAGCAGCAGTTTGTGACAATGATTAGAGAGCTACATATTTTGAAATTTGAAACTGAAAATAAGTCATAATTTATTTCTTTGGAGACTAAAATGAAGCATAATCCTGGCATTTATTTTTCAGATCTCTCTAGGAGTTCAGGCCATTAGTGATTTAAATAATCTCGGATCAATTACACTTCCTTCATCACTGCTGACAAATTTACCCACTGAAGAACTGGACTTGGCTTCTAGAATTATATTCAACTTCTTTAAAAAGACCACTGTGTTCCAGGTATTTTTTTGGTCCGCTGTTCCTAAGGGTTTCAAATTCAAGCCTAGTGCAAAATAGAATATGAATAGACTTTTTTTCCCAAAAAACACATTTTAAAAATTCTCATTTAAAAAGTAATTGTTTTTTGTCCAGTGCTTACTCTGCATAGTAACTGAGCCTGTGGGTGCTGTACTCTAGAATTGCTTTCTTTAAGATTTTAGAACTGGTTCTTTTTTCTGTCGTTCCAGGATCTGTCCTTGAAGAATGCATCTTTAATCAGCAATGTCATATCATCAAGTGTTGCCAATCTCACAGTTCGCAATTTAAAGGCAAATGTTACCGTCACTTTACAGAATATCAAACCTAATCAGGTATGGCTTACATTTTGGCAGACTTAAAGTACAATTTTGTTGCCTTCACTGAAGGTGTTGTAGAGGATATAGGATACTAAGAATACAGATCAATATTTTTTCTTTATTAGTGTGGACATTTTGTTCTATCCCTCAACCATCCAGCTTTTATCTTTTTTTTTACTTACCCTTCTGGTTTATTCTACAAAGAATAAAAACTCTCAGATGGAAAACAGTGGGTTTCTTTGGAAGATGCTGCAGTCATGACAATTGTAGGTTCTACATGGCCAGAAAGTAATATAAGATTTTTTCCTTAGAGGAACTGAAACACAGGATCGTGTCATCTGGAAGTATTAGGACTCATACACACCATCTCTTTCCTAAATGAGCATCAAGGATTAAAATCTATCCCAAATCTTAACAGAGTTTAAAATAGCATATTATTATAAATGAAAAATGTAGGGATTCCACTGATGCACCTGAAGCTTTTTTCAGGAGCTGGCTTAGTGTAGTCTTTACTTGTATTGACATAACAGTGAGTTTTGAGACATAACCACAGAAGTATTAGTGTTCACAGCAGTACAGTAAATTACTGCTATTTTTAGAATTCCCATGTGTGGAGGGAAATCTGTATGTAAACATTTAACAACACAGTAATAGAAAGTGATCAAATTTTTGCATATTAAAAAGTTTTATCTTTTATGTGTGGTCATGCCTTCAATACTTACAAAATCAAGAAGGATGAGAAATTCCAAGAATTTGTATAGTGTGGGAAGACAATGGAAGAGCATTCAGAATGTTCTACCAGGAACAGAATCTTTGTATAAGCATGGGATCTAGCTCCTGTATGGTGACTTCAAATTTTTTCAGTATATTTTTGCATCCATTTTGCAATATTAATCCATTCTATGCACCTACATTAATTTTGTGTTCATGTAAACCAGGCATATTTGCTGTATACAATATTTATTCTTGCCTGCATTTTGTAGATAATTCATAAATCATTTGATCCTAAACTCATAGTTTACTAATTTTTGGTTTTCCTTTTTACCTCCTGAACAGGATAATTCAACAGTTAGATGTGTTTTTTGGGACTTTAATAAAAATGGTAAGTACTTAAGATCACCCAAGATACCGTGTTCTTTTAGTTGTGTTAACCTATGCTATTATAATTAAAACCTTTTATGAATAACAAAACTGCTTTCTTTAACAGGTGGACATGGAGGCTGGTCACATGAAGGTTGTATAGTTAAAGAAAGTAGAGTAAACGAAACAGTCTGTTCATGCAACCACCTTACAAGTTTTGCTGTTTTGATGGTAATTATTTTTTAAAATTATGCAACTTTACCCTGGTTCAAGAACGCATTTAAGCAGGTGTTGTTTTAAGTAAATGAGGACCCAATAAGCACATACTGCCTATGAAATAATACTTGGGTTCTGTTCACTTCAGTGTGACTAACTGAAATTAGTCATGTGCTTAAGCTACTGGTTGAGTAGGAATCCATGAGTTCCACTGGCCCCGAAGTGCTGCAACTGTTACATTTAGACAGATTTTTGTATTCTAGGAAATAAAATTTAAGAGCAATCAAATTTATACCAAGTTTTTAAACAAATGGGTTTCCACAATTAGAATCACAGAATCGTAAAATAATATCTCAAGTTGGAAGGGACCCATAAAGATCATGGAGTCCAACTCCATTCTCTTTGCAGGACTACACTGGCTTTTTTGGTTTTCAGTTAAACTTTTATAAGATCCATGATAAAAAGAATGGTTTACTTTTTTTTTTTTTTTCAGTTGCAGAGGGAAATGTGCATTTGGGATTTTTTTTACCTTTTTCCATTTAATAAATGTTCTCTGAACTTAACTTCTGTTTCTGTTTTAGAACTTGTATGGAAATTCTCCTTTGAATCCCACACAAGAATTGGTACTGACTTTTATATCCTACATAGGCTGTGGCCTCTCGGCAATTTTTCTTTCTGTTACTCTTGTGACCTACATAGCTTTTGAGTAAGTACCTGTTCAACTAAACTCTCATTAGTCTTCAGTTATGATTGATTGTGGTCTTCACTGCAAAGTCCTTTCCAACAGTTATGGATTTTGTCTCCATTAATAATGCGCAAATTTGGCCAGTTTATCAAGAAGGTGTTGATTCAATCTTCAGGAATGTTAATCTTACAAACGAGTGAATTATCATGAAGCTCCATGCAGTCAGAAGTGAAGAAGTAGCACTCTGACATATTTTGTAATGGATTATCACAATAGAATTGTGAAGGAATGTGTTTAACAGACAACATATAGAAAGCAGTGTAGAATTACAGCATTTTAAATGCACTTGTATTCTTTGTTTATTCTCTCATTATTCTGTCTTTAAAGACTTGTCTCTATCAAAGCTTTAGAAGCCCCGTCAAAAGCCTAATCTAGTTTAACAATAAAGAACAGCCACATTTGGGGTTTTGGAAGCCCTGTAACAAGAAGTCCAACATACAATGTAAAAAAAAAAATAACCATGGCACTAAACTCAAAGACTCCAAGTTATTGTTTGTATTTATGTAACTTTTTCTAAAAAACTTTATCCATACAGGCCACTAATTTGGAAATATTTTGTAAATTACTCTCTCCATCTATAAATCTAACATATGAAGCATTATATATGAATGAAAATATACTTCTTTTTCCTAGGCATTTGTGCAACAGCAAGAGAAGAAATAAGCCAGGAATCTATGGACAATTGATGTCATGACACTGATTTGCTTTTTTTTAGGAAAATCCGGAGAGACTACCCCTCCAAAATACTTATACAGCTGTGTGCTGCATTACTTCTGCTCAACTTAGTTTTCCTTCTTGACTCATGGATTGCACTGTATGATACACGAGGCCTATGCATTGCAGTTGCAGTATTTCTTCACTATTTCCTCCTGGTTTCCTTCACCTGGATGGGCCTGGAAGCTTTCCACATGTACCTGGCCCTTGTGAAGGTCTTTAATACTTATGTACGGAAATACATTCTTAAATTCTGCGTTATTGGCTGGGGTATGTAATTTTTATTCCCTTTTGTATGCTAAATAGGTAATTCCTCTTACCAAGTGTTTCAGTGAATGTGACACAGTTCAGAAAGGAAAATTAAGCCATCATTAAATGTTATGACCTTACAGTGGCCAGGTGTTCATTCTCAGTGAACCCGATCCTGTATGTTCCACCTTACCGAGGTATGGACAGCCCCCCCAGCTGCAGAACTGAAGCTTCTGCAATGCGAATTGATAAGGAGTTTTCTTTGTGCTAGTACAATAGAAACGATTTTTAATGGGCATACTTCCATTTCCATTTACCAGACAGATGGTGCCAGTTGTATTGGGAGAATAAATGCCAATAAGTATATATATTGTATTTCTGGGATAGCATTGTTGCTAACAAAAAGCAGCAAAACAGGTCTAATTGGATAGAGGATGAAGAGATCCTGGGCCTGATTGTTGTCTCTGGCCATTTCAGTAAACATGAGTCAAGGCACTAAAATGAATGGAATTGTTTTCTTAAAACATATGTCAGAAAGAAAATCAGGTATCCTGTAATTGATATTTTAAATCATTTTGAGTGATGGCATTTGTTGGCTTATTCAGAAAGTTTTGGAGCTATATGTGGAGAATTCCTCTTGTTTCTTTGCAAGTTGTGCTCCTGAGCAGTTTGAAAGCTGCAGTTTTTAGATTCTTTCAGAGAGCTAGTAGTTAACAGAATTCAACAGATTAATTTCATAAACAAGTTGTAGATTTCATAGGAAAATATAATTTCAAGTCTTCATAATACTGTCTTTGTCAGGATTTTCACTTCTATGTTTGCTCATAATATTTCAGGGTTACCAGCATTAGTTGTGTCCATTGTGTTGGCAATATCACCGGATAATTATGGACTTATAACCACTGGAAAGGTTTCAATAAATGGACCTGATGAATTGTGAGTTAAAGGGAGGTGCTTTGGGGGAGGGAGGGAGGTCCTACAGAATTGGGTTTTCTTTAAAGTAAAGGTGGGAAAGGGAAGGAAGCAGTCATAGTGCTTTGAAATGATACAGCTCTACAGTATATCATGTGTTTTATGGTAATTGCTTGTAGGAAAGCTCGTGCCCTTTGGCTGAAAGAACTCTAAAAAGGCAAAAATGATTTGCACGTGCAACAAACTACGTTTATCTCCTGTTTATTTTATTTAATTTCTCTTTCTGATAATGGTTGACAGACTGTTCTTTTGTTCTAGCTGCTGGATTAAAAATAGAATTGTCTTCTATATTACTGCTGTGGGATATTTTTGCCTGATATTCCTGATCAATATCAGCATGTTCATTGTTGTGCTGATCCAACTCTGTCGTATCAAAAAGAAAAAACAACTCGGTGCTCAAAGGAAAACAAGTATTCAAGACCTCAGGAGTGTTGCTGGCCTTACATTCTTGTTGGGAATTACTTGGGGGTTTGCCTTCTTCACAGTAAATGAGGTATTTACTTACCTCTTTACCATTTTCAACACTTTGCAAGGTAAGCTTTATCCTTCATGTGACAGCCACTTGCATATAATATAACAAACAAAACATTTGGAAATGTCATTTTCTTGATTCAGCAATAAAAATTTAACTTTAATATGTGCTTAAACATGTTAATTATATTAAAGGCGATACTGCTTTACTGTAATCTTATATTGCAGCTTTTTTATGGTAAGGTACAGGAAAGCTGGATACTATTTATAGATATAGTATATTTATAAATACTATAATTTAAGAAGTGTATGCAAAACAGGCATCATTGGAAGTGACTGTGCTTCTCTAGTCAACAGATCAGTTGTGAATACTCACTTACTGTAAGTGTTCACATTATAATGCAGTAAATCTAGTGAAAACTGTATCATTTCTCCACTTCCCCTGAGGCTTAGAGGGGCAGTGTGACATTAAGCAAAGGGCCATTGAGACAGGCAGGGCTGCAACATCTAAAAGGTAGTGGTTTAACTCTTAAGCATGGCCTGTGGTACTTAAGAACACATGCAAAATAGATATGAAGGCATAAAGCTTTGCAAAGACCAGGATACTAATGGACATATCCTAAAGCAGAGTGTCAGAGGCTGCAAAGGCTTTTGAATAAATGTACTGTAGGTCCTATAGTTATCTGAGTATACCTGAATAACCCTGTTGAAGTTTGGATCTGAACTTCTGCTTAAATGGCACTTAAATGACTGGCTGGGTGATTTCCCAGAGAGACTAAAGCAATGAAAATTGCAGTTCAGTGTATATGCCTCTCCCCTCTTTACTGTGTTGATTTTTGAGTACCTTACCCTTTGGTAACGTGAGGGGCTGGACCTACATTTTCTCAGGTCTTGCACGGGATTGCATTGAACTAACACAAGGCTAGATTCTGTGTGGTCAGAATAATCTGTTATGTGAAGCTAAGTTCCCTGTTTACCCAGTCTTAAGTTAGATGGTGGGCAAATTTTGACATTGGAAGTGCATAAATAAAGGTGCATAAATTGTATTAATTGAATTAAGCTTATACTGGTGTTTCAAAACCGTTTCAAAGTATTTGAAAGTGGCGTGGAACCATTTGGTATAGAGCAACACTTAGTTACAGTCAAGAACTAATCCTAAAAAACAAGGTTAAGTAAGATATGTAAGCAAAGAAAGATGTGAGTAATCTTTTCCAATGGAATTTTCTATGTTTAATTTGCCCAAAAAAACAGCATAAACATAATGTACATATGTGTCTACACCAGTCTGATCATTTAGTTTTATCTCAGGCTATTTCGTATTCACTGTTAATGTCTATTCTCAGGGAAATATTGCAAATGGACAGTGATGATGGGCTTTTAAGCAGGGAAGCTAGATGCTACTCTGTGTCACTTAGTAGAGTCAATCAGAGAAGCAGACAAAGAATCTGTAATGTGGCACTGGCAAGAGAAGGGATGAGCACCATCCCTCCTAAAAAATATTTGAAATTGTAGTAGAGGGGGTCCCATTTATTAGTATTTTAGATATGAGTTATTTTCTGGTAACAGGTTAGCTGCTAATAGAAGATATGACAGTGTCACATCATGTGCTAAAAGCTGCACAGCCTCACAGTGCCATACCACACCCTCTGTTTGACATTGCTTGGAATTCTTTTCCAAAAGCATGAAGTAAATTTCAGGATCAAAAGAATTTATCGCTTTTTATTTGATAAAAGGAAACTTTATGTACCTTGTGGATTTGGTTGTATTTGATGTTTTTCCATTTGTGAGTAGGATTCCTTTAAGCTATGTATGGAAAAAGTACTCTGCAGTGTTCAGAGTTGTAAACTTTTTCACCAAAGAAAAATGTCATTACTTTTGATTAGAAATTTAAAAGAAATGAAAGAAAACCAAAACGTAGTTCATTAAGAAGTAGTAAAAGTAAATTTTGCGACATTCTCTAATATTATTGTTTTGCAGGGTTCTTCATTTTCATCTTCTATTGTGTAACAAAGGAGAATGTACGTAAACAGTGGAGAAGATACCTCTGTTGTGGGAAATTCAGGCTCGCTGAAAACTCTGGTAAATATGAAAAGTTTTTTTTATTTAATTTTTTTTTTTACTTCTGAATACTTAAAGTTCCTAGTATTTTGTAATACTTTAAAAAAATTAATCAATCATGTTGCTGCAGTTGCAGTTATAATGTATTATGCAAGGTGTAATAAAATTCCCAAATTTATAAGGGTAGTAGGTGATACAGTTCTTACATGCTTACCTATGTTAGGTGCCAGATCAGTAATTATTGGGTTGGAAGCACCTTGTGGGGGTTGTGTGTGTGTGTGTGTGTGTGTGTGTGTGTGTGTGTGTGTGGAGCGGGGAAGGGATGGGTAGAACCTCACAGAGGTGAGGTCGTATGGTGTCCCTCAGGACAGGAGCCTGGAACCCACATGGGGAAGCCCCAGAATAGCTGTCAGTCACAAAGAACCTGGGAAAACTATAACACACCACACCTCCTGGAGCCCCTAAGCCAGGCTCAGATTGGCAGGGACAGTGAGGACACTGCCCCTCACCCTGGCCTGGGACCCCAGAGTGCCCAGGGGATCAGACACCCCTCCTAGAGAGGGTGGCCATAGGGACCAGAGCAGATAAAACCAAAGGCATGTGTTTGCCACATGTTGCAGCCCTGCCACTTGGATGTTTGAGAGCTGGTCTTCCACAAGGTTTCAATGGTAGCTACATGATCTGTCTCTCCTTTTTCTCTCTGTTTGCTCACACTGCTTCTCTTTCTTTGCTCCTTTCTTGATGCTTTGGGTGGCTTGGAGCTCGAGGCTTGTATTTTGACTTAAATGTGGAGACGTGTGATTTTGACTTAAAGGTGTGGAACGTAGTATGTGCTGGGTCAGTATTGTGGTGGAACATTTTCATCCAGCTTCATCCAGCTTTCATCCAGAATCTAAACTGTTCCCCACTTGTTGAGCTATAAACAGGTTATGAGACATACCTAGTCCCAAACAAAAAAGGATGGGCTGAGGAAAACTAGCATGATCCCAAGTTAGTTTCTAAGAAAATAAAAAAACTGGCAAGATAGAATAAAAAAAGATACGGTAAAAGAAAGACTTTAGTCTGTTCTTTGCTGAGACTTGTGCTGATGGCTGCTCAGAGAGAGAGATTAGTTACTAAGCAGCGCAATCAAAAACAGAATATGTCCTTAGTTAAGAGTGGCTGTGAAAGCTGAGAGCTTATCTCACCAAAAGGCGGAGGAATGGTTGAATGCTGCGAAAGAGATTGGCTGAAAACGTGACAAACAAGTTGAACGAGTCCTATGAGAGAGAAGAAAAGAGTTGTAGTTGCAAGTTGCCCACCTGAGTAGGGGGGATGGAAAGTGACTCAAGCCTGGCTAAGGCGGCGAGATATATTAACTGTGATGCCACTTCCCGCCTGGGTAGGGGAATGGGGAGCGAAGTGAAATCCCCTAGCCTGGCTAAAGAAGCAGAGTATCATAACTGCGATGTCACCTCTTTGCACTCCTGGGAGGCGGAATCCACCTCTTTGAAGCAGTATTTTGATACAGTAAAGTAAAACCTCCCCCTCCTACCCAAACTATGTCCACTTGTAAAGACTAGATTTGTGTAGGAAGGTGAAGATGAGGAGGCAGAGCCCGTGGTAACAACTAAAAAGATACTTATTCCCCAACAGAGTTATTAAAATTACAAGAGAAATGCAGTAAGAATGCAAGAGAGAGTGAAACAGTGTATCTGGAGAGTTTAACTCACAGGTGAAAATAAGATAAAACTTTCAGATGAAGAAACATATGGATTTTGGGGCCCAAATGTGTTTCTAACAAAGCCTGATGGCAAAAAGCCTTGGTCCCTTATGCCGAGAGCAGTTTATTGAGCAGAAAGACTGGAACCCCTTGGAGAGCAGAGAAGCTGTCGCTATGCCCACCCCAACACTGGGTAAACTCACTAAAACCATACAGAGGGCTGCTTGCCTCCAGTGAATACAGGAAAGGTGGCTTGGCCCTCGCCAGCCCCCTCCCATGTTGTTGCTAGCCAAGCTGGATGGACTGAATCCCCTGATAAAAGGACAACCTGATTCCTCAAAGCTTTATTCCACCCAAGTGCAAGATCGGCTTAGAGCTGCCTGTGCAGGAGCACCACGGGCAGGACCTGGTCTCACCTGGGAGGAAATAGCCAAGGACTTAATAAATTATAGTAGACAGATAAGTGTTGTTGCAAATTAAGTGAAAAATCAAATGCCTGTCCATAGGATGGAGTGAAGGGCAAAGTCTCCATGATTTAGAGGCTGAAACATGAAGGAAAAGTTTCAAAGAGCCAATTGTAGAATGCGAGATTGAAAAAGGGTATCCCTTGAGAACTGATGGACAGACAGTCAGACCAGTATTTATAAAAGCTTGTAAAAATGTGGAGACGGTTGAGTGATAGTCCCCAAAAAGGAAACAATGCTACCTCAGTGCCCAGCAGGTTGGAAGTATCCACAACGTTGTTAGCTGAAAAGTCAGGAAACTCCCCAGCAAATGAGCCAGGAATAGACAAATGGAAATATAACAGAAAGCTCACTGAAAACAAAGGAGGAGATATGGTAGTAACCTTTCCCTTTGGTCCTTTATGGTCCCCCTGCACCTTGTTAGTTGATACAGGGGCCCAAATTTCTGCCTTGAATGAAAGAATTGCAAAAAGATGTGGGGTAGTCCCTGATAAAAAACAGATTTGTGTTGCTGATGTGTTTGGCCACAGCAGACGGCTTGAGTGAAATACTGGTTACCTGGTGATGATTACCCCACTAAGGCCATAATGATATTGGGTCCTTTCCCTAGGAATATTATGGTATTAGACCTCCTTAAAAGAAAAGCTTGGCTAGATTTTAAGAGGAATGATTGGGAATTTGATTCCCCAACTTTCTATCCCTTGCCTCTGGGAGCCAGAAAAAGAATTGCAAGCCAAATAGCAATTGTTGCATAGGTAGCCACCAATGCCCATGGCAGAGAACACAGAATTAACACCAAGTTGATTGTTCCCTCTTTTTAAGACCAGTCTCAGCAAGTTTTCTTTTCTCTCCTCTCATACAAGTGTCCAAAGAGGAGATGAAGTGCCAACAAGACTGTTTCTGATTCCTGTATTTACTTGCACTTGAAAGATCTACAAGCAGGAAATCCTAGAATAATAAAGTCAACTCCAGAAACAGAAAATAGCTGCAACAGAATTTAAGACTTTAAAGTAAAAAGACTAAACATGTCACCTTTTTTGTTAGGAAAAAGCAGTCTCTAGGTTAAGACCATAATCATTTTGTGCCTTTAAGTTTTGTTTTGCTGTAATGTTTGATTTCTTTTCTGGTAGCTACAGCAAGTGCAACAGCTCAGAATAATCAAAGTGTTGTATAGCCCTTCCTGCCTCCTCAGAGTGGGTAGCCATTGGAGGGAGGAAAAAAAGGGGATAACAAAGGTTCTCAGTTGCAGCAAGAAGTTTTCTCCAGCTGCAAACAGGTGAAGATTTTGTGTTTAGTAACCACTGAAGTTTTTTTGTAAGTTAAACTGAGTTGGTAAGAAGAGTTTCCCCTGTGGCAACCAGATTATTGTATATTACTGAATATCTCTTTCTCATGATGCACCCTGACTTTGCCCCTGAAACCTGCTTGGTGGGAAGGATGAGGGTGGTAAAGAAGTTAGTCTAGGATATAGGTATTTGGTTTGAGTTAATGCTTAGTGTGTTGTTATTAAGTAAGCAAAGACTTTTAAAGTGCTGCTCCTCACCAAAGAAGGATGCTGTCCACAGATTCAAGTGGAAGAAGTCCTCTGACCACTGCAATTAGCAGATTCTGAACTCTTTCCCTGGATCCTGGTTTGCTGCAGTTCGGGACCCACAGGGTGAGAGATAGATTTGCATAGAGCAGAGTTTCTATATTGATAGAACTCCTAGTTTATAGTTATTGATATAATATTGATATATTGATATTGTTAAACCTGGTTCTAGTGGTTGTTCCAACCCAACAGAGTGGAATGTTAGACACCAGATCAGTAACTGTTGGATTGGAACCACCTTGTGGGGGGTTACATGTGTGTGTGTCTGGAGAGGGATGGGAGGTTATAGCCAGGTGAGGGTTGGTCTCTTCTCCCAGGCAACCAACAACAGGACAAGGGGACATGGGCTCAAGCTCTGCCAGGGGAGGTTTAGGTTAGATGTTAGGAAGAAATTCTTTACAGAGAGGGTAATCAAGCATTGGAACAGCCTACCCAGAGAGGTGGTGGATTCACCATCCCTGGAGATTTTTAAGCAGAGATTGGATGTGGCCCTTAGTGCCATGCTATAGTAAT